CATCTCTTAAGTACTGAAGATTTATCACAGTCACAGATTCCATCTGTCTTTCGTCATCACCATGGAATATTATTCCAAAAGCTATTAAGCTTTAGGAACAGTTCTCTGCCCCTGCTCCTGCCTCCACCTGTCCTCAGCGTGCAGCCAGAAGAGGTGCGGCACTCAGGAGCACGATGGGAGCCCTTCGTATCTCCTCAGCTCCTGCCCTTCCAGCTCTGCAGAGACGTTTCATATCCCAGTGACATCTGCGGCCCCCCCCCCGCCGCCCCTCTCTCCCCCCACGCACACAGATGGGCCCGCTGGGCACCGGCACTGCCGTCCCAGCCAACAGCGGATTCGTCGCCCTGCCCGCAATAAGTCTGTCAGCACCGCGTGTTCATTTGGAGAGCGCCGGCCCGGGCGCTCGGTGGTTCCATAGCAGGAAGAAATGGTTCCCGAGGAGGGCCGTGGCACGCGCTGCCCCGAGGAGCGGCGCACACTGACGCGTGGGATCAGACTCTATGACCGCAAGGCAGTTGTAAAAGCAGGTACGTTTCATCAGGGCTGCGACGCCGGGTGCAAGGGGGGGACCTGCTCCTAACTCGCACAGCGGCAGGAAAAAGCTGCAGACGGAGGCCGAACTGATACAGAATCAGTAGTTTCCAGGATGCGGATACGCATTCATTGCATTCCGAGAACCCACCAGCACGCGGTCCCCCTCCCCCCCTCGCGCGTGCACAGTGAGTGGTGAGGGTCTCCTCCCGGTGGTCGTGGGACGAAGAATCCCTATCTTCACGTTATCCGCACGCCCTGCCCCCCGACCCTTCTTCCGGGAGAGCTCCGTCCGCCCCTTCGTCTCTGCGGAGCCAATTGGCTGGCCTGGCTGTCACTTAAAGCGCGGGCGGAGGGGCGAGCGGACGAACGGGGTTGCGCGGGGTGCCCGCTCCGCGCGTGCCCGAGTCCGGGTAACGAGCGCGCGGAGGCGTGACGTCACGTCCGCCGGGGAGCCGGCGGTACGGGGCTGAGTAGAAACGGGGGTCCTCGCGGGGTTGGGCGGTGGGTCTGGCGCGTTATTGGGGCGCCGGGGCCACGTAGGGCTGGGAAGGGAATCCGAGGCGTCCTCCTGGAGCTGCGGGTGCCGGGACGCGTTCTGGGGGCCCGTGGGGCTGGGAAGGGGGTGGAGAAGCGGGGGTCTCGCGAGGCCGGGGGGGCGCGGGCCTGTTATGCGGGTATTGCCCTGGGACTCGGGAGAAGGGGCGGCGGTCTCCGTGCCTGATGGGGCCTTTCTTCCCCCGACTTCCCCTCCGCCCTTTTGTTCCCCGCTCGCAGACCGTGGCCGCCCCTTTTTCCTCCACGCTGGTGCCGGGCGAGGCCTCGGAGAGCGACTCGGAGCCGGAGCCGGGGGGGAGCGCGGCCGGGCCCCCTTCAGCGGGGCTGAAGGTTCCGGGGGTGGCGTCGGAGACCGAGGAGGAGGAGGAGGAGGAAGAGGAGGAAGAGGACCGTGCGGCCCGAGTGCCGCTGCCAGGGGTGCCCCGGGGGCCCCTCATTGCTGCGGCAGCGGCTGGGGGCGGGAGAGGGGCGACTGCGGGGCGCGATGGCTGAGGCGCTGGGACGCGGTTTCAGTGGGGCTGCGCGGCTGCTGGAAGGCCTGGGGGGGCCCCTGGGCCGAGCCCGAGCTGGGGCAGCTGCCACCGCGCGCTGCCTGTGCCTGGTGCGCCGTGACCTGCGCGCCGTGGCTGCCACCGTGGCCACCGTCGCCGCCTGCTGCCCGACATCCGCGGGGAGCCGTGAGCGTGGGAACGCCAGTGGGTGGTGTTGGCAGCCGCGGGGAGCTCCTGGCGTCGTTGCAGTGTCGCTGTCGCTGACCTCCAGTGCTGTGTCCGACGGACTTGGGGGCTGTGGTTGTCACTGATGGCGTTCTTGCTGTTGCTGCGTTTCCAGTGCTGTGTCCCCTTGAGCTGCTGCTCCCATCAACAGCATCCATGGGGGCGCTTCTGCCACCAAAGACGGTGGCAAAGAAGACAGAATGGTAATGGGGTTATTTGAAGTAAACTAACAGAGAAGTGAAGATGGCTCTTGTGCAGCCAAATAAAAACCAGTAAAGACCAGTATGGCCACATCGTGGTCAACGGAGTCCCAGGAACTAGTAAGAGCCAGTAGGAATGCACAGTAGGAATGTATGCCCCAGAGCCGGTGCCGGCCTCATGGGCTGGGGCTGGGGCTTTGGACCTCACTGTCTGGGGCTTCAGCCCCAGAGCTGGTGTTGGCCTCTGGGCTCGGGCTGTAGCGTGAAGTCCCTGGACTGGTCCCAGCCTGTTGGGCTGTGTCTCTGGTCCCCAGGGCTGGTGCCAGCCTCGTGGGCTTGGGCTTTTGGCCCCGCGGTCGTTCTTGGCCTCTTTCTGTGGCTGTGGCTTTAGTCCCTAGGGCTAGTACCGGCCTGTCTGGCTGTGGCTGTGGCTTTAAGCCCCATGGCCGGTGTCAGCATCCCTGGCTGTGGCTTAAGGCCCTGGGGTCGGTGCTAGCCTCTCAGGCTTTGGCTTTAGGCCCCATGGCCCGTGCCAGCCTGCCTGGCGGTGGAGGTAGCTTTAAGCCCCAGGGCTGGTGCTGGCCTCCTGTGCTATGGCTGTGGCTTTAGGCTCTGGAGCTGGAACCGGTGTTCAAGCGCATCCCGAACATCACCAGCGGGCTTAAGAAGAAGACAGAATGGCAAGAAGGAGCACATTGGAAATCTACATGAGCTCTTAAAGGTGATTTCAGGCAAATTGGGTGGAAGGAAGGGGGGCAGAGGATGAGAACAGGTCTTTTTTCCCCTTCTTTTTAAGGAACGTTTAGGGAAAGGGGAGTGCAGGGGAGAATACCCAACGTCAGTTCTTAACAGTAAAACATCTGCTCTTTCTACTGCCACATGTGATCGATGGTAGCCAGGTACATAAAATACCCATTGAATTCCTTCTTATTTTGCTTGGTTTTGCACTTCATCATGTGAGGAATGTGAACAGGAGGTAGAAACACAACGAGCTCTCCCTTCACCTTCACGTGCTTTAGCAGGATTGTCTGCTCGCAGTTTCAGTCTATGCTGGGGCTGTTGACAACCCTGCACATGGAGATCTGTAGGGCTGCTTGTTACCCTGGCAGCTCTGTCTGCTCAGCTGAGTTGGTTCCAGTTGGTGCAAAGGTGGCATGGGACAGGGGGCATTGCTTTCTGCCAGCTGGATACAGCTGCTGGCTGAACTGGCCAAGACGGAGCCCACCCTGTGCGCCTTCCCATGTGCACATCCACCCCGAGAATGGAAGTCCTCCTTCTCTGTGTACCCCATTCCACCACAACGAGGAAAGAAAACCATTTTGGCACCTGAAATGCTTCTGCTCCTGCAGCCTGGGCACTGCAGTCACAGCTCTGCAAAGCATGTCCGCAACAGAAGGACTTTCCCCAAGGCAGGGGAAAACAGGGAAATTCAGCAAGAGAGGAAAAAGAAGTCGTTTTCTAACTCTTGATGCAACTAAGCATGGTGTGTGCCAAAACACGAGGGGGCACTCAGCAATTAAAATGATTTTGCAGAGGGAAAGGAGAGAGGGAAAACCTTCCTCTCAATGCTGCAAGGCCCTGAGGAGATGAGAAAATCAGACAAAACTGCAAAACGGAGAATGCCTTTTCAGGGGCGTTCCCCTAAAGGGAATGGGGAGACATAGGGCAGATGCAATGGGACAGGACTTAACTGGATGCAGTTTAGAAACGAATCACCCCAGCTCTTGCTTGGGCTGTTGCCCTTTGTTGCTGGGAATCCTGGGGATCCCAAACCTCCCAGCTGCTGGCTTTCCACCGTACATCCTCCCTTGGAGCCAAGCACGCCTTTCCCAGCAGCAAGCAGCAGGCTGGAGTCAGCACCAAAACCAAAACCTCCTTGCACCTTGCCCTGTCCTTCCTCCACACGTTGTCTCTTAGTTTCAGAAAATAGGGCGAGACCCCAGTGAAATGAAAGCTCTGGGACAAAACGGCTGCTTTATTCTCCTCCTCCCCTTTCCTTGTCTACACCCCGCAGAAAGGCCATTTGCCAAGCAAGGGACGCAATTACCAGGTGTATGAGGGGCAGAGCAAACCAAGCTCAATTTCAAAGGCTTGTTTCTTTCACATTACTTCCCTGAGGTCCGATACCATCATAGAGTCATAGAATCATATAAAGGCCTGGGTTGATCCTTTTCAACCCAGTGATCATCTAGTTTCAACCCCCCTGCTACATATAGGGTCACCAACCAGGCTACCACCAGTCCAGGCTGCCCAGAGCCACATCCAGCCTGGCCTTGAATGCTTCTGGGGACGGGGCATCCACAACCGTCTTGGGCAACCTGTTCCACCGTTTCACCACCCTCTGTGTGAAAAAACTTCCTCCTAATATCTAGCCTAATCCACCCCTGTCTCCAGTTAAAACCACTCCGCCAAGTCCTATCACTATCCACCCTCGTAAAGAGCCGTTTATCCAAGAAAGAGAACAGCACAGGATTTTTTGTTTGTTTGTTTGTTGGTTGGTTTTATTGTGGGTGTTTAATTGGTTGTTTTTGGTTTTGGTTTTGCTTTTGCTTTTGCTTTTGTAGGAGCTCACCCACGTCCTGCATGCCTCCAATTGAACCTCAAGTGGAGCAGAGGGTAGTCTTGCAGATGGAGCAGTGCAGGAAGTCTGACAAGATCTTGAGGTGCATCCAGTTCATCATCTGAGACGGAGGAAGCTCGCTTTCTGGGTCCTCATCAGGACCCTCAGAAGGACTGTAGCTATGGCGAGCTAAGAATCTTCAAATTATTGGTGATACTTGTCCTGGAGAGTGCGGGATGAAGGACAGAAGCTCTGCTGCTGATTCCCCGCTCTCACGTTCAGGGCCGTCCGCTGACAGAAAGCAGCACTCAGGACTGTTCCCGTGGACCTCTTTCACGGCTCTGAGTTCACGCTCCAGGCCTTCCAGGTGACTTTGAAGACCTTTGGCCTCTTGGATGGCAGAACGGAATGGACCGGAACTATTGCTGAGATTCCTGTTTGATGGGGCAAGAGTCTCTTCTGTTGCCTCTCCCAGCTCCATTCTGCCCTCGTCTCCAGTTGGAACTCTCTCCTAGTTGGTATCAGGATGAGCCGGTTCTGCTGCTCTCTCTTCTCTCTTGCACACTCTGTGAGAAGGAGTTTCAGAAAGCACTACTCACTGACAGGAAATAAGGGGAAACTTGAAAGACTTGGCAACTTGGTAAGTCCTGGCAGTGCACTGCCAGCAGCTGATTTGGCCGTCCAGGATCCTGGCACTACAGATGCTTCATTGCCAAATGCAGCAATCGGGTGTTTTGGGGAAAAGCCTACTCACAAGTATGTTTTGCACATCCATATCACAGCACCACAGGCCAGCACCGCAGCAGGGAACATTACCACGGCTGCGATGTAGCGCTTCCGCGCAGATTGGTGAACAGCAGCCTCTGTGCTTTTCCCGGCATTCATCCCTGGAAGAAACGAGACAATATCCCACGGACCCTTCACCTGCTACAGATGATCTCCCAGTGTGCTCCATGGACCCAAGAGATTTTCATTAGCGGGTGCCTCTGTCTCTGTGCCTAAGCACCGGGGGACAAGAAGGATTGCTTCCACCTCTCGTTGGGGACGGAGAGGCTGCACAGGCACTACCCGTGTCTTCCTCTGGGCCGAGGGCTGGGGCTGTGCCCTGGGATCTGGGCTTTGTCTGTGGGGAGCACTGCAGAGCAGAACCCCTCACGCTTTCCCCAGCGCGCGTGTCCTGAGCTCTCCCGCAGGACACCCCCAGGCTGGAGGTCGGGCTCCAGCCAGCGCAGGGCACAGCCGGAGCCAGCCCGGGGGAGAAACACCCCTGCAGGCTCCTACCGCACAGGACCCCGCTCATCGCCCTCGGGTGGCTTTGTTGCAAAAGGGCAAGGCTCACAACTCGGGGAACTGCGAGTGGTGGGAGCTGAGCAGCGTCACAGAGGTCTGCACGTCCCTCCTCTGGCACGCCGCTGGAACAACTCTCCACACCCCACTGAGGTCAGCCACTTTCACAGGGCCATCCCTGCCTTCTTTGACACGTGCTCTGTGCCCACACGCTCAGGTTTGGCTGCTGACCTGGTGTGCAAGGTTGCTGGCGCGGTTAGTGATGCTGGATGAAGTTACGCGGCACAGAAATTACCTGGCGTGCCAGCTGTTGGCGCTGCCTGCGTTCCGCTGTCCGAGACCGGCAGGGTGGGATGGCTGCCTTCCTGCAGTGCATCCTGCTCAGTTTCTTGGTCAATTCCTTTAGAAAGAAAGCAGGACAGTAGGATTGGATGCGATGTGCTCTCATCGGGAACTGAGCTACTCCAACCCTGAGCCCGCCCAAAGCCTGCTGCTCCCAGCCCCCCACATCCACTGCCACCCCCTCCGTTGCCCAAGGGCACTTGGGCTCTCCCAGGAACTGGAGGGTGCCGACCCTCTCATGCCTCCTCAGGAATCAGCTCCTATGCAAGGCCCTCACACCACGTGCTGCGAGCGTCACCAACCACCACAGCCAGCTATCTGCAGGCTGAAATTAAAGCTCCAGCACAAGCACCTTCAGAATCAGCATCTCCAGCTCGTTTCCAGCACTGCTAGCACAGGCAGCCATCCCTGCTCGGGATGCTCCTCCTGCCTTGCACTGGCTCAGCTGCACAGAGGGCTTTGTACGAACAGAAGCACAGCACTCGCCAGTTGCTGCCGCCTGGGTGCCAGCGTCTGCACAAAGCAGCTCTGACAAGTAATGGTCCTGCTGGGGGAGCAGCTGCCGCTGGGTCTTGGCTGGATGCAGAAGTGGCAGCAGACCATCCCTGGTGCTTGACAGTGTCTGCAAGGCGTTACATGGAACACCGCCACAGCACGGCCCTGAGCAATCCCTTCCTGCTACGGATCCAGGCTACGGCTTGTCCACACATGAACATCAGACCTCAGCTTCCCAGGTTTCACGGTGAACAGACTGAAGTGTACCTACCACGCGGTGCCTTCTCTATTTCCTTCAGCAGTTCCTTTAGGAGACGGGGTAAGCCCTGGGACTTTCTTCCTCTTTCGGGTTCATCCTCTGCTCTTTCCGGACCTGTACAGAACGTATGAAGTCAAATATCAGGTGCATGCAGTTTTGGAGACCAGCGGTGAGTCAGCAGAGTCAGTAAAGACAAACTACTCAGCGCTGGCATTCCAGCTGGGCTGCAGCGCAGGAGGAAACGAACGACCGGGCAAAAGACATCCATGGGGGCGCTTCTGCCACCAAAGACCCAGGAAAGGTTTCACTCACACACTGCAGCATCACTGAAGAGCAGAGCATACGGGGGGAAAAATCGTGCCAAGAAATGGCACTGAAATGGGCGAGGAAAGCTCTCGCAGGAATTACAAAGCCGTGACTTACCCATGCCATCCGCCAGAGTTTCGGTCCCAGAGCTCAGAGCGGATCCTGGATCACCTGCTCCAGTCCCATCTGCAAACAAACGCACGACACAGCAACTCCCATTAAACATCCTTCCAGGCAGAATGACACAGGATGCAATTAAAGCCAGGGATTCCTTCACGACTCTGTTCTCTCCCTTCCACACAGGAGCACCTCGGAAACAGGTCCTGGGTGCCTTGCAGGGGCACCACCGCCATTCATAACTAACCCCGTGTGCAACCGCCCAGAGGAACACCCTCCTGGAGCTCAGCCCACCTCTAAACTCAACTGCATGAACTGGACTAAACCTAGGCTTTGGTAAGCCACTGCCTGGAGACACAGCTGTAAGCAAGGACAGAGGAGAAACGTTGCCATTGCAAGTGCCCATCTCCCTCTTCCTTAGCGAGCTGCAGTGAAGGAAGGGGCTCAGCTAATGGCACGGGGGGAAAGTTCCAAAGCTGCAGAGCAGCCAGGTGACCTGCTGGCTGGTACTCCACAGCTTTCCAAATACTTTCTCCAGGCCACGGGAAACAATGCTCAGGGACCTCATGGAAGAACACTCAGCCCCTTGAAATTTTCTTGCTGAGAGACCTCGGAGATACAGGGACGAAGGCAACACCACCCTGACAGCACGGAGCACCCAAGAAGCAACGGCCATCCACGCTTCTCGGGGAGAAGAACCCGCTGGCCGCTGAAAAGCGGAACCCTTGCTGAACTATCCCAGCCAAATATGATCCAATACCGAGGAAATGAAGCCTGCTGACTTACCTCCAGCATCCCCTTCAGGCTCGTAGACAGGATACTCTCCTGTGGATTCACCAGCACGGCCTGCAGGCACAAGTGTGATCAGACAGACACAGGTGAGGAGAGCTTCCAGCACGTGTGGGGCCTCCTTTTCCCTGAGTGACCTGTAGGCTCTGGCGGTGGGCCAGGGAATGCCACGGCCCAAATACAAAGGTCTGGGCTCTCTCAGCTGAAGAGGGGCAGCGGTAACCTTCCCACTGAAATGTGGCAGCTCTCCGAGTAAAGAAGTACTCATGGCTCGACTGTGCATGCCCCTCAAGGCTCAAACCGACTCGGAAGATCTTGAGGGGATGTGAAGTCAAATTGCACCCAAGTAAACTGGGAGAGCATGAACGTTTCTGCCTCCAAGGAAACAGACACTCACAACTTACCTCTGGGTTGTTCCACAGGCACAGGCACAAAATCGAAACCCAAACGATCATTTGCAAAGGGAGCACCAAGGGCATCACCTAGAATCAAGAACAGATGGGAGAAATTCCCATTGCATGGCGTGATCTCCTTCTCCCTCGGTCACTGGATGCGGGGCGTGCAACGGGATGGCAGAAGGACTCAGGTCACGATTTCCAAAGTTGCGGAGTGGCCAGGATGATGTGTAGGCTGGCACCTGGCAGCGTACACAGTGCTCTCCCCAAGCCGTGTGCCACATCCCTCAGGGACCGCGTGGAAGAAGATGCAGCCCCCCGGGGCTTTCTTACTGGGAGGCCTCTAACGGACAGGAAGGTCACCCTGAAGCACTGGAGGAAGGCACGCCTGTCTCTTCCTCTGGGCCGTGGGCCGGGGCTCTGTGTTGGAAGCTGGCATTCACCTATGGTACCACGAGTACCACGAGCCTGGAGCAGAAATGCTCACGCTTTTCCCAGCTCTCCCCAGGACGTCTCCCAGGATGAAGGCTGTGCTCCAGCCAGCAAGCAGCAGAGCCATGGCCCGGCGTGGCTGGAGCCGGCTCTGGGGAGCAGCGCTGCCACGGGCTCCGGCCCGGCTCCTGCTGCGCTGGCCCTCACCCCCTGCCCGACAGCACCCCCGTGGAAGGCAGGCCCCAGGGAAGCGTGGCACAGGGCCGTGGGGACACAGCCTGACTTCTTGCCGCCAGTGCAGCTCGGTTTGGGTCCCATCTCTGCCCACCCACCTGCTCCCGGTGCTCGCCACGGAGCAGCACAAGTCTCCCGGAAACACATGGCCATCAGTAGGAGGAAGAGGACAAGGCGGGCAGGGGCCATGGCCCCCCACACTCGCACCATGCTTCCAACACCACCGCTGCAGCCACAGTGAGTGTCGCACAGAGCGAAGCCTGCGGCACGGCACAGCACAGCACAGTCATAGGACGGGGCATTGTGACCTCATACGCCAGCTCCGAGATTCCGGGCGGCGGCTCCTCGCGGGCTGCTGCTCTTGTGATGCACTGCACCAGGGCTGCGTGGGGCCGGTGCTTACATCACAGAAACGCAGAGCCATAGAATGGCTTGGGTTGGAAGGGACAGCAAAGAGCTTAGAACCCCAGCCCCGCCGCCGTGGGCAGGGATGCCACCCGCGGGGTCATGCTGCCCAGAGCCCCATCCAGACTGACCCTGAACACCTCCGGGGATGGAGCACGCACGGCTTCACCTGGCAGACTTTCATAGTGCTTCAACTACCCCAAGAGGGAATTATTTCCTGCTCCATGCTCCCATGATGCCTCCGGCCATTGAGGAAGGGATGCAATATGGAAATGGGGTCTGGATCGAGGGTGCTGCTGCACAGGTTGTCCATGCGTGTGAAACGTGCTGCAATTAAGCAAGCCGAGCAGATAAAGCCTCTCCGGTATGGAGGATGACGGCTGAAACACAAACACGGGGAAGCTGACCTTCCCACTGTGGAAAGTGAAAGTGTTGTTTCTGCCCTGAACATTGAAAAGGGCAATTGATCTAAAGAATTAAGCTGCAACATACCCTTAGAAATAGCTGATGTGGAAAGTAAGAATACCATATACATATTAGTAACGTGTTTTAGAAACATAGTTACCAAATTACCTAACAAACACTTTCTCACGAAGCTGCAATAGATTTTGAATGTTCTAAACAATATGGGTACAGTATTGTGAACTAGGAAACAGATTGTGAGGTTGTTCATTAGACCGGCAGAAGCAAAACACATTGAACAAACTTTCAAGGAGTCAGGGCCTTTCTACAAAGCAGAACTGTCCCACTTTGTGGGAATGTTAGGATGCCATAGGCAGGCTCCAAGGTACTCCCCTCCATCCTCCTTCCGAGCTTATCTTTCTGCAAGGACAGGTGAATGACCAGAACAATGACCAGTGTGAAGGGGCACAAATGTTAATTAAACGATTGAGGCTATTTCTATGTTTATGCTGTAAACCTGACATCCGAAAAGTTACGACCAAATTTGTTTGTTAAGAAAGCAATTGTTAGAAGTCAATTAAGCAATGAAGACATTTGCATCTGGGCGGCAAAGATTTGTGTCTACTCGGTGTTTGTATGATCAGTGAAACGTCACGAAAGAGTGTGAACCTGCAGTACTCAGCCAATGAGGAACCAGGGGAGAAAGAGATCAGCGACGGGCAATAGGGGATAAAAGATGTAACACTGCTTTCTCGGGGCTCTCCTGCTTGCAGGAGGCCCGCCATTGCAATTGCGAATAAAATCTGCTTTATCAGAGAAACCGTCCTAGAAAATTATTTGGATATTTCCAGCACCACAAACCTGCCACGCCAAGTGTCACCTGCTCACGTTTTGTTGAGGGATCTGCAGTTTCATCTGTTTTCCTTCAGTTTTCCAGTACCTTGGCTAAGGACATCCCCTTTCCTGCACCAAGTGCATTTCCCACGCAGCGTAGCGTGCTTCCAAGCCTTCCAATTTAGTCGCAGAAACTGAAGGCTTGCTGGCTGCCACCTCCCATCCCCAAAGTCCCAGTGAACTCACCCACTGCTGGCAACTGGACGCTTGGTGGCGAGAGGACCGTCACCTATCGGTCAGCTCCCACCTGGCACTCCAGAAACTGCAGCAATGAATACAGCGTCCAGGAAGATTAAAGAAGCAAAACAGTTCTCTGCCCCTGCTCCTGCCTCCACCTGTCCTCAGCGTGCAGCCAGAAGAGGTGCGGCACTCAGGAGCACGATGGGAGCCCTTCGTATCTCCTCAGCTCCTGCCCTTCCAGCTCTGCAGAGACGTTTCATATCCCAGTGACATCTGCGGCCCCCCCCCCGCCGCCCCTCTCTCCCCCCACGCACACAGATGGGCCCGCTGGGCACCGGCACTGCCGTCCCAGCCAACAGCGGATTCGTCGCCCTGCCCGCAATAAGTCTGTCAGCACCGCGTGTTCATTTGGAGAGCGCCGGCCCGGGCGCTCGGTGGTTCCATAGCAGGAAGAAATGGTTCCCGAGGAGGGCCGTGGCACGCGCTGCCCCGAGGAGCGGCGCACACTGACGCGTGGGATCAGACTCTATGACCGCAAGGCAGTTGTAAAAGCAGGTACGTTTCATCAGGGCTGCGACGCCGGGTGCAAGGGGGGGACCTGCTCCTAACTCGCACAGCGGCAGGAAAAAGCTGCAGACGGAGGCCGAACTGATACAGAATCAGTAGTTTCCAGGATGCGGATACGCATTCATTGCATTCCGAGAACCCACCAGCACGCGGTCCCCCTCCCCCCCTCGCGCGTGCACAGTGAGTGGTGAGGGTCTCCTCCCGGTGGTCGTGGGACGAAGAATCCCTATCTTCACGTTATCCGCACGCCCTGCCCCCCGACCCTTCTTCCGGGAGAGCTCCGTCCGCCCCTTCGTCTCTGCGGAGCCAATTGGCTGGCCTGGCTGTCACTTAAAGCGCGGGCGGAGGGGCGAGCGGACGAACGGGGTTGCGCGGGGTGCCCGCTCCGCGCGTGCCCGAGTCCGGGTAACGAGCGCGCGGAGGCGTGACGTCACGTCCGCCGGGGAGCCGGCGGTACGGGGCTGAGTAGAAACGGGGGTCCTCGCGGGGTTGGGCGGTGGGTCTGGCGCGTTATTGGGGCGCCGGGGCCACGTAGGGCTGGGAAGGGAATCCGAGGCGTCCTCCTGGAGCTGCGGGTGCCGGGACGCGTTCTGGGGGCCCGTGGGGCTGGGAAGGGGGTGGAGAAGCGGGGGTCTCGCGAGGCCGGGGGGGCGCGGGCCTGTTATGCGGGTATTGCCCTGGGACTCGGGAGAAGGGGCGGCGGTCTCCGTGCCTGATGGGGCCTTTCTTCCCCCGACTTCCCCTCCGCCCTTTTGTTCCCCGCTCGCAGACCGTGGCCGCCCCTTTTTCCTCCACGCTGGTGCCGGGCGAGGCCTCGGAGAGCGACTCGGAGCCGGAGCCGGGGGGGAGCGCGGCCGGGCCCCCTTCAGCGGGGCTGAAGGTTCCGGGGGTGGCGTCGGAGACCGAGGAGGAGGAGGAGGAGGAAGAGGAGGAAGAGGACCGTGCGGCCCGAGTGCCGCTGCCAGGGGTGCCCCGGGGGCCCCTCATTGCTGCGGCAGCGGCTGGGGGCGGGAGAGGGGCGACTGCGGGGCGCGATGGCTGAGGCGCTGGGACGCGGTTTCAGTGGGGCTGCGCGGCTGCTGGAAGGCCTGGGGGGGCCCCTGGGCCGAGCCCGAGCTGGGGCAGCTGCCACCGCGCGCTGCCTGTGCCTGGTGCGCCGTGACCTGCGCGCCGTGGCTGCCACCGTGGCCACCGTCGCCGCCTGCTGCCCGACATCCGCGGGGAGCCGTGAGCGTGGGAACGCCAGTGGGTGGTGTTGGCAGCCGCGGGGAGCTCCTGGCGTCGTTGCAGTGTCGCTGTCGCTGACCTCCAGTGCTGTGTCCGACGGACTTGGGGGCTGTGGTTGTCACTGATGGCGTTCTTGCTGTTGCTGCGTTTCCAGTGCTGTGTCCCCTTGAGCTGCTGCTCCCATCAACAGCATCCATGGGGGCGCTTCTGCCACCAAAGACGGTGGCAAAGAAGACAGAATGGTAATGGGGTTATTTGAAGTAAACTAACAGAGAAGTGAAGATGGCTCTTGTGCAGCCAAATAAAAACCAGTAAAGACCAGTATGGCCACATCGTGGTCAACGGAGTCCCAGGAACTAGTAAGAGCCAGTAGGAATGCACAGTAGGAATGTATGCCCCAGAGCCGGTGCCGGCCTCATGGGCTGGGGCTGGGGCTTTGGACCTCACTGTCTGGGGCTTCAGCCCCAGAGCTGGTGTTGGCCTCTGGGCTCGGGCTGTAGCGTGAAGTCCCTGGACTGGTCCCAGCCTGTTGGGCTGTGTCTCTGGTCCCCAGGGCTGGTGCCAGCCTCGTGGGCTTGGGCTTTTGGCCCCGCGGTCGTTCTTGGCCTCTTTCTGTGGCTGTGGCTTTAGTCCCTAGGGCTAGTACCGGCCTGTCTGGCTGTGGCTGTGGCTTTAAGCCCCATGGCCGGTGTCAGCATCCCTGGCTGTGGCTTAAGGCCCTGGGGTCGGTGCTAGCCTCTCAGGCTTTGGCTTTAGGCCCCATGGCCCGTGCCAGCCTGCCTGGCGGTGGAGGTAGCTTTAAGCCCCAGGGCTGGTGCTGGCCTCCTGTGCTATGGCTGTGGCTTTAGGCTCTGGAGCTGGAACCGGTGTTCAAGCGCATCCCGAACATCACCAGCGGGCTTAAGAAGAAGACAGAATGGCAAGAAGGAGCACATTGGAAATCTACATGAGCTCTTAAAGGTGATTTCAGGCAAATTGGGTGGAAGGAAGGGGGGCAGAGGATGAGAACAGGTCTTTTTTCCCCTTCTTTTTAAGGAACGTTTAGGGAAAGGGGAGTGCAGGGGAGAATACCCAACGTCAGTTCTTAACAGTAAAACATCTGCTCTTTCTACTGCCACATGTGATCGATGGTAGCCAGGTACATAAAATACCCATTGAATTCCTTCTTATTTTGCTTGGTTTTGCACTTCATCATGTGAGGAATGTGAACAGGAGGTAGAAACACAACGAGCTCTCCCTTCACCTTCACGTGCTTTAGCAGGATTGTCTGCTCGCAGTTTCAGTCTATGCTGGGGCTGTTGACAACCCTGCACATGGAGATCTGTAGGGCTGCTTGTTACCCTGGCAGCTCTGTCTGCTCAGCTGAGTTGGTTCCAGTTGGTGCAAAGGTGGCATGGGACAGGGGGCATTGCTTTCTGCCAGCTGGATACAGCTGCTGGCTGAACTGGCCAAGACGGAGCCCACCCTGTGCGCCTTCCCATGTGCACATCCACCCCGAGAATGGAAGTCCTCCTTCTCTGTGTACCCCATTCCACCACAACGAGGAAAGAAAACCATTTTGGCACCTGAAATGCTTCTGCTCCTGCAGCCTGGGCACTGCAGTCACAGCTCTGCAAAGGGTCATGTCCGCAACAGAAGGACTTTCCCCAAAGCAGGGGGAAAACAGGGAAATTCAGCAAGAGAGGAAAAAGAAGTCGTTTTCTAACTCTTGATGCAACTAAGCATGGTGTGTGCCAAAACACGAGGGGGCACTCAGCAATTAAAATGATTTTGCAGAGGGAAAGGAGAGAGGGAAAACCTTCCTCTCAATGCTGCAAGGCCCTGAGGAGATGAGAAAATCAGACAAAACTGCAAAACGGAGAATGCCTTTTCAGGGGCGTTCCCCTAAAGGGAATGGGGAGACATAGGGCAGATGCAATGGGACAGGACTTAACTGGATGCAGTTTAGAAACGAATCACCCCAGCTCTTGCTTGGGCTGTTGCCCTTTGTTGCTGGGAATCCTGGGGATCCCAAACCTCCCAGCTGCTGGCTTTCCACCGTACATCCTCCCTTGGAGCCAAGCACGCCTTTCCCAGCAGCAAGCAGCAGGCTGGAGTCAGCACCAAAACCAAAACCTCCTTGCACCTTGCCCTGTCCTTCCTCCACACGTTGTCTCTTAGTTTCAGAAAATAGGGCGAGACCCCAGTGAAATGAAAGCTCTGGGACAAAACGGCTGCTTTATTCTCCTCCTCCCCTTTCCTTGTCTACACCCCGCAGAAAGGCCATTTGCCAAGCAAGGGACGCAATTACCAGGTGTATGAGGGGCAGAGCAAACCAAGCTCAATTTCAAAGGCTTGTTTCTTTCACATTACTTCCCTGAGGTCCGATACCATCATAGAGTCATAGAATCATATAAAGGCCTGGGTTGATCCTTTTCAACCCAGTGATCATCTAGTTTCAACCCCCCTGCTACATATAGGGTCACCAACCAGGCTACCACCAGTCCAGGCTGCCCAGAGCCACATCCAGCCTGGCCTTGAATGCTTCTGGGGACGGGGCATCCACAACCGTCTTGGGCAACCTGTTCCACCGTTTCACCACCCTCTGTGTGAAAAAACTTCCTCCTAATATCTAGCCTAATCCACCCCTGTCTCCAGTTAAAACCACTCCGCCAAGTCCTATCACTATCCACCCTCGTAAAGAGCCGTTTATCCAAGAAAGAGAACAGCACAGGATTTTTTGTTTGTTTGTTTGTTGGTTGGTTTTATTGTGGGTGTTTAATTGGTTGTTTTTGGTTTTGGTTTTGCTTTTGCTTTTGCTTTTGCTTTTGCTTTTGTAGGAGCTCACCCACGTCCTGCACACCTCCACTTGAACCTCAAGTGGAGCAGAGGGTAGTCTTGCAGATGGAGCAGTGCAGGAAGTCTGACAAGATCTTGAGGTGCATCCAGTTCATCATCTGAGACGGAGGAAGCTCGCTTTCTGGGTCCTCATCAGGACCCTCAGAAGGACTGTAGCTATGGCGAGCTAAGAATCTTCAAATTATTGGTGATACTTGTCCTGGAGAGTGCGGGATGAAGGACAGAAGCTCTGCTGCTGATTCCCCGCTCTCACGTTCAGGGCCGTCCGCTGACAGAAAGCAGCACTCAGGACTGTTCCCGTGGACCTCTTTCACGGCTCTGAGTTCACGCTCCAGGCCTTCCAGGTGACTTTGAAGACCTTTGGCCTCTTGGATGGCAGAACGGAATGGACCGGAACTATTGCTGAGATTCCTGTTTGATGGGGCAAGAGTCTCTTCTGTTGCCTCTCCCAGCTCCATTCTGCCCTCGTCTCCAGTTGGAACTCTCTCCTAGTTGGTATCAGGATGAGCCGGTTCTGCTGCTCTCTCTTCTCTCTTGCACACTCTGTGAGAAGGAGTTTCAGAAAGCACTACTCACTGACAGGAAATAAGGGGAAACTTGAAAGACTTGGCAACTTGGTAAGTCCTGGCAGTGCACTGCCAGCAGCTGATTTGGCCGTCCAGGATCCTGGCACTACAGATGCTTCATTGCCAAATGCAGCAATCGGGTGTTTTGGGGAAAAGCCTACTCACAAGTATGTTTTGCACATCCATATCACAGCACCACAGGCCAGCACCGCAGCAGGGAACATTACCACGGCTGCGATGTAGCGCTTCCGCGCAGATTGGTGAACAGCAGCCTCTGTGCTTTTCCCGGCATTCATCCCTGGAAGAAACGAGACAATATCCCACGGACCCTTCACCTGCTACAGATGATCTCCCAGTGTGCTCCATGGACCCAAGAGATTTTCATTAGCGGGTGCCTCTGTCTCTGTGCCTAAGCACCGGGGGACAAGAAGGATTGCTTCCACCTCTCGCTGGGGACGGAGAGGCTGCACAGGCACTACCCGTGTCTTCCTCTGGGCCGAGGGCTGGGGCTGTGCCCTGGGATCTGGGCTTTGTCTGTGGGGAGCACTGCAGAGCAGAACCCCTCACGCTTTCCCCAGCGCGCGTGTCCTGAGCTCTCCCGCAGGACACCCCCAGGCTGGAGGTCGGGCTCCAGCCAGCGCAGGGCACAGCCGGAGCCAGCCCGGGGGAGAAACACCCCTGCAGGCTCCTACCGCACAGGACCCCGCTCATCGCCCTCGGGTGGCTTTGTTGCAAAAGGGCAAGGCTCACAACTCGGGGAACTGCGAGTGGTGGGAGCTGAGCAGCGTCACAGAGGTCTGCACGTCCCTCCTCTGGCACGCCGCTGGAACAACTCTCCACACCCCACTGAGGTCAGCCACTTTCACAGGGCCATCCCTGCCTTCTTTGACACGTGCTCTGTGCCCACACGCTCAGGTTTGGCTGCTGACCTGGTGTGCAAGGTTGCTGGCGCGGTTAGTGATGCTGGATGAAGTTACGCGGCACAGAAATTACCTGGCGTGCCAGCTGTTGGCGCTGCCTGCGTTCCGCTGTCCGAGACCGGCAGGGTGGGATGGCTGCCTTCCTGCAGTGCATCCTGCTCAGTTTCTTGGTCAATTCCTTTAGAAAGAAAGCAGGACAGTAGGATTGGATGCGATGTGCTCTCATCGGGAACTGAGCTACTCCAACCCTGAGCCCGCCCAAAGCCTGCTGCTCCCAGCCCCCCACATCCACTGCCACCCCCTCCGTTGCCCAAGGGCACTTGGGCCCTCCCAGGAACTGGAGGGTGCCGACCCTCTCATGCCTCCTCAGGAATCAGCTCCTATGCAAGGCCCTCACACCACGTGCTGCGAGCGTCACCAACCACCACAGCCAGCTATCTGCAGGCTGAAATTAAAGCTCCAGCACAAGCACCTTCAGAATCAGCATCTCCAGCTCGTTTCCAGCACTGCTAGCACAGGCAGCCATCCCTGCTCGGGATGCTCCTCCTGCCTTGCACTGGCTCAGCTGCACAGAGGGCTTTGTACGAACAGAAGCACAGCACTCGCCAGTTGCTGCCGCCTGGGTGCCAGCGTCTGCACAAAGCAGCTCTGACAAGTAATGGTCCTGCTGGGGGAGCAGCTGCCGCTGGGTCTTGGCTGGATGCAGAAGTGGCAGCAGACCATCCCTGGTGCTTGACAGTGTCTGCAAGGCGTTACATGGAACACCGCCACAGCACGGCCCTGAGCAATCCCTTCCTGCTACGGATCCAGGCTACGGCTTGTCCACACATGAACATCAGACCTCAGCTTCCCAGGTTTCACGGTGAACAGACTGAAGTGTACCTACCACGCGGTGCCTTCTCTATTTCCTTCAGCAGTTCCTTTAGGAGACGGGGTAAGCCCTGGGACTTTCTTCCTCTTTCGGGTTCATCCTCTGCTCTTTCCGGACCTGTACAGAACGTATGAAGTCAAATATCAGGTGCATGCAGTTTTGGAGACCAGCGGTGAGTCAGCAGAGTCAGTAAAGACAAACTACTCAGCGCTGGCATTCCAGCTGGGCTGCAGCGCAGGAGGAAACGAACGACCGGGCAAAAGACATCCATGGGGGCGCTTCTGCCACCAAAGACCCAGGAAAGGTTTCACTCACACACTGCAGCATCACTGAAGAGCAGAGCATACGGGGGGAAAAATCGTGCCAAGAAATGGCACTGAAATGGGCGAGGAAAGCTCTCGCAGGAATTACAAAGCCGTGACTTACCCATGCCATCCGCCAGAGTTTCGGTCCCAGAGCTCAGAGCGGATCCTGGATCACCTGCTCCAGTCCCATCTGCAAACAAACGCACGACACAGCAACTCCCATTAAACATCCTTCCAGGCAGAATGACACAGGATGCAATTAAAGCCAGGGATTCCTTCACGACTCTGTTCTCTCCCTTCCACACAGGAGCACCTCGGAAACAGGTCCTGGGTGCCTTGCAGGGGCACCACCGCCATTCATAACTAACCCCGTGTGCAACCGCCCAGAGGAACACCCTCCTGGAGCTCAGCCCACCTCTAAACTCAACTGCATGAACTGGACTAAACCTAGGCTTTGGTAAGCCACTGCCTGGAGACACAGCTGTAAGCAAGGACAGAGGAGAAACGTTGCCATTGCAAGTGCCCATCTCCCTCTTCCTTAGCGAGCTGCAGTGAAGGAAGGGGCTCAGCTAATGGCACGGGGGGAAAGTTCCAAAGCTGCAGAGCAGCCAGGTGACCTGCTGGCTGGTACTCCACAGCTTTCCAAATACTTTCTCCAGGCCACGGGAAACAATGCTCAGGGACCTCATGGAAGAACACTCAGCCCCTTGAAATTTTCTTGCTGAGAGACCTCGGAGATACAGGGACGAAGGCAACACCACCCTGACAGCACGGAGCACCCAAGAAGCAACGGCCATCCACGCTTCTCGGGGAGAAGAACCCGCTGGCCGCTGAAAAGCGGAACCCTTGCTGAACTATCCCAGCCAAATATGATCCAATACCGAGGAAATGAAGCCTGCTGACTTACCTCCAGCATCCCCTTCAGGCTCGTAGACAGGATACTCTCCTGTGGATTCACCAGCACGGCCTGCAGGCACAAGTGTGATCAGACAGACACAGGTGAGGAGAGCTTCCAGCACGTGTGGGGCCTCCTTTTCCCTGAGTGACCTGTAGGCTCTGGCGGTGGGCCAGGGAATGCCACGGCCCAAATACAAAGGTCTGGGCTCTCTCAGCTGAAGAGGGGCAGCGGTAACCTTCCCACTGAAATGTGGCAGCTCTCCGAGTAAAGAAGTACTCATGGCTCGACTGTGCATGCCCCTCAAGGCTCAAACCGACTCGGAAGATCTTGAGGGGATCTGAAGTCAAATTGCACCCAAGTAAACTGGGAGAGCATGAACGTTTCTGCCTCCAAGGAAACAGACACTCACAACTTACCTCTGGGTTGTTCCACAGGCACAGGCACAAAATCGAAACCCAAACGATCATTTGCAAAGGGAGCACCAAGGGCATCACCTAGAATCAAGAACAGATGGGAGAAATTCCCATTGCATGGCGTGATCTCCTTCTCCCTCGGTCACTGGATGCGGGGCGTGCAACGGGATGGCAGAAGGACTCAGGTCACGATTTCCAAAGTTGCGGAGTGGCCAGGATGATGTGTAGGCTGGCACCTGGCAGCGTACACAGTGCTCTCCCCAAGCCGTGTGCCACATCCCTCAGGGACCGCGTGGAAGAAGATGCAGCCCCCCGGGGCTTTCTTACTGGGAGGCCTCTAACGGACAGGAAGGTCACCCTGAAGCACTGGAGGAAGGCACGCCTGTCTCTTCCTCTGGGCCGTGGGCCGGGGCTCTGTGTTGGAAGCTGGCATTCACCTATGGTACCACGAGTACCACGAGCCTGGAGCAGAAATGCTCACGCTTTTCCCAGCTCTCCCCAGGACGTCTCCCAGGATGAAGGCTGTGCTCCAGCCAGCAAGCAGCAGAGCCATGGCCCGGCGTGGCTGGAGCCGGCTCTGGGGAGCAGCGCTGCCACGGGCTCCGGCCCGGCTCCTGCTGCGCTGGCCCTCACCCCCTGCCCGACAGCACCCCCGTGGAAGGCAGGCCCCAGGGAAGCGTGGCACAGGGCCGTGGGGACACAGCCTGACTTCTTGCCGCCAGTGCAGCTCGGTTTGGGTCCCATCTCTGCCCACCCACCTGCTCCCGGTGCTCGCCACGGAGCAGCACAAGTCTCCCGGAAACACATGGCCATCAGTAGGAGGAAGAGGACAAGGCGGGCAGGGGCCATGGCCCCCCACACTCGCACCATGCTTCCAACACCACCGCTGCAGCCACAGTGAGTGTCGCACAGAGCGAAGCCTGCGGCACGGCACAGCACAGCACAGTCATAGGACGGGGCATTGTGACCTCATACGCCAGCTCCGAGATTCCGGGCGGCGGCTCCCCGCGGGCTGCTGCTCTTGTGATGCACTGCACCAGGGCTGCGTGGGGCCGGTGCTTACATCACAGAAACGCAGAGCCATAGAATGGCTTGGGTTGGAAGGGACAGCAAAGAGCTTAGAACCCCAGCCCCGCCGCCGTGGGCAGGGATGCCACCCGCGGGGTCATGCTGCCCAGAGCCCCATCCAGACTGACCCTGAACACCTCCGGGGATGGAGCACGCACGGCTTCACCTGGCAGACTTTCATAGTGCTTCAACTACCCCAAGAGGGAATTATTTCCTGCTCCATGCTCCCATGATGCCTCCGGCCATTGAGGAAGGGATGCAATATGGAAATGGGGTCTGGATCGAGGGTGCTGCTGCACAGGTTGTCCATGCGTGTGAAACGTGCTGCAATTAAGCAAGCCGAGCAGATAAAGCCTCTCCGGTATGGAGGATGACGGCTGAAACACAAACACGGGGAAGCTGACCTTCCCACTGTGGAAAGTGAAAGTGTTGTTTCTGCCCTGAACATTGAAAAGGGCAATTGATCTAAAGAATTAAGCTGCAACATACCCTTAGAAATAGCTGATGTGGAAAGTAAGAATACCATATACATATTAGTAACGTGTTTTAGAAACATAGTTACCAAATTACCTAACAAACACTTTCTCACGAAGCTGCAATAGATTTTGAATGTTCTAAACAATATGGGTACAGTATTGTGAACTAGGAAACAGATTGTGAGGTTGTTCATTAGACCGGCAGAAGCAAAACACATTGAACAAACTTTCAAGGAGTCAGGGCCTTTCTACAAAGCAGAACTGTCCCACTTTGTGGGAATGTTAGGATGCCATAGGCAGGCTCCAAGGTACTCCCCTCCATCCTCCTTCCGAGCTTATCTTTCTGCAAGGACAGGTGAATGACCAGAACAATGACCAGTGTGAAGGGGCACAAATGTTAATTAAACGATTGAGGCTATTTCTATGTTTATGCTGTAAACCTGACATCCGAAAAGTTACGACCAAATTTGTTTGTTAAGAAAGCAATTGTTAGAAGTCAATTAAGCAATGAAGACATTTGCATCTGGGCGGCAAAGATTTGTGTCTACTCGGTGTTTGTATGATCAGTGAAACGTCACGAAAGAGTGTGAACCTGCAGTACTCAGCCAATGAGGAACCAGGGGAGAAAGAGATCAGCGACGGGCAATAGGGGATAAAAGATGTAACACTGCTTTCTCGGGGCTCTCCTGCTTGCAGGAGGCCCGCCATTGCAATTGCGAATAAAATCTGCTTTATCAGAGAAACCGTCCTAGAAAATTATTTGGATATTTCCAGCACCACAAACCTGCCACGCCAAGTGTCACCTGCTCACGTTTTGTTGAGGGATCTGCAGTTTCATCTGTTTTCCTTCAGTTTTCCAGTACCTTGGCTAAGGACATCCCCTTTCCTGCACCAAGTGCATTTCCCACGCAGCGTAGCGTGCTTCCAAGCCTTCCAATTTAGTCGCAGAAACTGAAGGCTTGCTGGCTGCCACCTCCCATCCCCAAAGTCCCAGTGAACTCACCCACTGCTGGCAACTGGACGCTTGGTGGCGAGAGGACCGTCACCTATCGGTCAGCTCCCACCTGGCACTCCAGAAACTGCAGCAATGAATACAGCGTCCAGGAAGATTAAAGAAGCAAAACAGTTCTCTGCCCCTGCTCCTGCCTCCACCTGTCCTCAGCGTGCAGCCAGAAGAGGTGCGGCACTCAGGAGCACGATGGGAGCCCTTCGTATCTCCTCAGCTCCTGCCCTTCCAGCTCTGCAGAGACGTTTCATATCCCAGTGACATCTGCGGCCCCCCCCCCGCCGCCCCTCTCTCCCCCCACGCACACAGATGGGCCCGCTGGGCACCGGCACTGCCGTCCCAGCCAACAGCGGATTCGTCGCCCTGCCCGCAATAAGTCTGTCAGCACCGCGTGTTCATTTGGAGAGCGCCGGCCCGGGCGCTCGGTGGTTCCATAGCAGGAAGAAATGGTTCCCGAGGAGGGCCGTGGCACGCGCTGCCCCGAGGAGCGGCGCACACTGACGCGTGGGATCAGACTCTATGACCGCAAGGCAGTTGTAAAAGCAGGTACGTTTCATCAGGGCTGCGACGCCGGGTGCAAGGGGGGGACCTGCTCCTAACTCGCACAGCGGCAGGAAAAAGCTGCAGACGGAGGCCGAACTGATACAGAATCAGTAGTTTCCAGGATGCGGATACGCATTCATTGCATTCCGAGAACCCACCAGCACGCGGTCCCCCTCCCCCCCTCGCGCGTGCACAGTGAGTGGTGAGGGTCTCCTCCCGGTGGTCGTGGGACGAAGAATCCCTATCTTCACGTTATCCGCACGCCCTGCCCCCCGACCCTTCTTCCGGGAGAGCTCCGTCCGCCCCTTCGTCTCTGCGGAGCCAATTGGCTGGCCTGGCTGTCACTTAAAGCGCGGGCGGAGGGGCGAGCGGACGAACGGGGTTGCGCGGGGTGCCCGCTCCGCGCGTGCCCGAGTCCGGGTAACGAGCGCGCGGAGGCGTGACGTCACGTCCGCCGGGGAGCCGGCGGTACGGGGCTGAGTAGAAACGGGGGTCCTCGCGGGGTTGGGCGGTGGGTCTGGCGCGTTATTGGGGCGCCGGGGCCACGTAGGGCTGGGAAGGGAATCCGAGGCGTCCTCCTGGAGCTGCGGGTGCCGGGACGCGTTCTGGGGGCCCGTGGGGCTGGGAAGGGGGTGGAGAAGCGGGGGTCTCGCGAGGCCGGGGGGGCGCGGGCCTGTTATGCGGGTATTGCCCTGGGACTCGGGAGAAGGGGCGGCGGTCTCCGTGCCTGATGGGGCCTTTCTTCCCCCGACTTCCCCTCCGCCCTTTTGTTCCCCGCTCGCAGACCGTGGCCGCCCCTTTTTCCTCCACGCTGGTGCCGGGCGAGGCCTCGGAGAGCGACTCGGAGCCGGAGCCGGGGGGGAGCGCGGCCGGGCCCCCTTCAGCGGGGCTGAAGGTTCCGGGGGTGGCGTCGGAGACCGAGGAGGAGGAGGAGGAGGAAGAGGAGGAAGAGGACCGTGCGGCCCGAGTGCCGCTGCCAGGGGTGCCCCGGGGGCCCCTCATTGCTGCGGCAGCGGCTGGGGGCGGGAGAGGGGCGACTGCGGGGCGCGATGGCTGAGGCGCTGGGACGCGGTTTCAGTGGGGCTGCGCGGCTGCTGGAAGGCCTGGGGGGGCCCCTGGGCCGAGCCCGAGCTGGGGCAGCTGCCACCGCGCGCTGCCTGTGCCTGGTGCGCCGTGACCTGCGCGCCGTGGCTGCCACCGTGGCCACCGTCGCCGCCTGCTGCCCGACATCCGCGGGGAGCCGTGAGCGTGGGAACGCCAGTGGGTGGTGTTGGCAGCCGCGGGGAGCTCCTGGCGTCGTTGCAGTGTCGCTGTCGCTGACCTCCAGTGCTGTGTCCGACGGACTTGGGGGCTGTGGTTGTCACTGATGGCGTTCTTGCTGTTGCTGCGTTTCCAGTGCTGTGTCCCCTTGAGCTGCTGCTCCCATCAACAGCATCCATGGGGGCGCTTCTGCCACCAAAGACGGTGGCAAAGAAGACAGAATGGTAATGGGGTTATTTGAAGTAAACTAACAGAGAAGTGAAGATGGCTCTTGTGCAGCCAAATAAAAACCAGTAAAGACCAGTATGGCCACATCGTGGTCAACGGAGTCCCAGGAACTAGTAAGAGCCAGTAGGAATGCACAGTAGGAATGTATGCCCCAGAGCCGGTGCCGGCCTCATGGGCTGGGGCTGGGGCTTTGGACCTCACTGTCTGGGGCTTCAGCCCCAGAGCTGGTGTTGGCCTCTGGGCTCGGGCTGTAGCGTGAAGTCCCTGGACTGGTCCCAGCCTGTTGGGCTGTGTCTCTGGTCCCCAGGGCTGGTGCCAGCCTCGTGGGCTTGGGCTTTTGGCCCCGCGGTCGTTCTTGGCCTCTTTCTGTGGCTGTGGCTTTAGTCCCTAGGGCTAGTACCGGCCTGTCTGGCTGTGGCTGTGGCTTTAAGCCCCATGGCCGGTGTCAGCATCCCTGGCTGTGGCTTAAGGCCCTGGGGTCGGTGCTAGCCTCTCAGGCTTTGGCTTTAGGCCCCATGGCCCGTGCCAGCCTGCCTGGCGGTGGAGGTAGCTTTAAGCCCCAGGGCTGGTGCTGGCCTCCTGTGCTATGGCTGTGGCTTTAGGCTCTGGAGCTGGAACCGGTGTTCAAGCGCATCCCGAACATCACCAGCGGGCTTAAGAAGAAGACAGAATGGCAAGAAGGAGCACATTGGAAATCTACATGAGCTCTTAAAGGTGATTTCAGGCAAATTGGGTGGAAGGAAGGGGGGCAGAGGATGAGAACAGGTCTTTTTTCCCCTTCTTTTTAAGGAACGTTTAGGGAAAGGGGAGTGCAGGGGAGAATACCCAACGTCAGTTCTTAACAGTAAAACATCTGCTCTTTCTACTGCCACATGTGATCGATGGTAGCCAGGTACATAAAATACCCATTGAATTCCTTCTTATTTTGCTTGGTTTTGCACTTCATCATGTGAGGAATGTGAACAGGAGGTAGAAACACAACGAGCTCTCCCTTCACCTTCACGTGCTTTAGCAGGATTGTCTGCTCGCAGTTTCAGTCTATGCTGGGGCTGTTGACAACCCTGCACATGGAGATCTGTAGGGCTGCTTGTTACCCTGGCAGCTCTGTCTGCTCAGCTGAGTTGGTTCCAGTTGGTGCAAAGGTGGCATGGGACAGGGGGCATTGCTTTCTGCCAGCTGGATACAGCTGCTGGCTGAACTGGCCAAGACGGAGCCCACCCTGTGCGCCTTCCCATGTGCACATCCACCCCGAGAATGGAAGTCCTCCTTCTCTGTGTACCCCATTCCACCACAACGAGGAAAGAAAACCATTTTGGCACCTGAAATGCTTCTGCTCCTGCAGCCTGGGCACTGCAGTCACAGCTCTGCAAAGCATGTCCGCAACAGAAGGACTTTCCCCAAGGCAGGGGAAAACAGGGAAATTCAGCAAGAGAGGAAAAAGAAGTCGTTTTCTAACTCTTGATGCAACTAAGCATGGTGTGTGCCAAAACACGAGGGGGCACTCAGCAATTAAAATGATTTTGCAGAGGGAAAGGAGAGAGGGAAAACCTTCCTCTCAATGCTGCAAGGCCCTGAGGAGATGAGAAAATCAGACAAAACTGCAAAACGGAGAATGCCTTTTCAGGGGCGTTCCCCTAAAGGGAATGGGGAGACATAGGGCAGATGCAATGGGACAGGACTTAACTGGATGCAGTTTAGAAACGAATCACCCCAGCTCTTGCTTGGGCTGTTGCCCTTTGTTGCTGGGAATCCTGGGGATCCCAAACCTCCCAGCTGCTGGCTTTCCACCGTACATCCTCCCTTGGAGCCAAGCACGCCTTTCCCAGCAGCAAGCAGCAGGCTGGAGTCAGCACCAAAACCAAAACCTCCTTGCACCTTGCCCTGTCCTTCCTCCACACGTTGTCTCTTAGTTTCAGAAAATAGGGCGAGACCCCAGTGAAATGAAAGCTCTGGGACAAAACGGCTGCTTTATTCTCCTCCTCCCCTTTCCTTGTCTACACCCCGCAGAAAGGCCATTTGCCAAGCAAGGGACGCAATTACCAGGTGTATGAGGGGCAGAGCAAACCAAGCTCAATTTCAAAGGCTTGTTTCTTTCACATTACTTCCCTGAGGTCCGATACCATCATAGAGTCATAGAATCATATAAAGGCCTGGGTTGATCCTTTTCAACCCAGTGATCATCTAGTTTCAACCCCCCTGCTACATATAGGGTCACCAACCAGGCTACCACCAGTCCAGGCTGCCCAGAGCCACATCCAGCCTGGCCTTGAATGCTTCTGGGGACGGGGCATCCACAACCGTCTTGGGCAACCTGTTCCACCGTTTCACCACCCTCTGTGTGAAAAAACTTCCTCCTAATATCTAGCCTAATCCACCCCTGTCTCCAGTTAAAACCACTCCGCCAAGTCCTATCACTATCCACCCTCGTAAAGAGCCGTTTATCCAAGAAAGAGAACAGCACAGGATTTTTTGTTTGTTTGTTTGTTGGTTGGTTTTATTGTGGGTGTTTAATTGGTTGTTTTTGGTTTTGCTTTTGCTTTTGCTTTTGCTTTTGCTTTTGCTTTTGTAGGAGCTCACCCACGTCCTGCACACCTCCACTTGAACCTCAAGTGGAGCAGGGGGTAGTCTTGCAGATGGAGCAGTGCAGGAAGTCTGACAAGATCTTGAGGTGCATCCAGTTCATCATCTGAGACGGAGGAAGCTCGCTTTCTGGGTCCTCATCAGGACCCTCAGAAGGACTGTAGCTATGGCGAGCTAAGAATCTTCAAATTATTGGTGATACTTGTCCTGGAGAGTGCGGGATGAAGGACAGAAGCTCTGCTGCTGATTCCCCGCTCTCACGTTCAGGGCCGTCCGCTGACAGAAAGCAGCACTCAGGACTGTTCCCGTGGACCTCTTTCACGGCTCTGAGTTCACGCTCCAGGCCTTCCAGGTGACTTTGAAGACCTTTGGCCTCTTGGATGGCAGAACGGAATGGACCGGAACTATTGCTGAGATTCCTGTTTGATGGGGCAAGAGTCTCTTCTGTTGCCTCTCCCAGCTCCATTCTGCCCTCGTCTCCAGTTGGAACTCTCTCCTAGTTGGTATCAGGATGAGCCGGTTCTGCTGCTCTCTCTTCTCTCTTGCACACTCTGTGAGAAGGAGTTTCAGAAAGCACTACTCACTGACAGGAAATAAGGGGAAACTTGAAAGACTTGGCAACTTGGTAAGTCCTGGCAGTGCACTGCCAGCAGCTGATTTGGCCGTCCAGGATCCTGGCACTACAGATGCTTCATTGCCAAATGCAGCAATCGGGTGTTTTGGGGAAAAGCCTACTCACAAGTATGTTTTGCACATCCATATCACAGCACCACAGGCCAGCACCGCAGCAGGGAACATTACCACGGCTGCGATGTAGCGCTTCCGCGCAGATTGGTGAACAGCAGCCTCTGTGCTTTTCCCGGCATTCATCCCTGGAAGAAACGAGGCAATGTCCCACGGACCCTTCACCTGCTACAGATGATCTCCCAGTGTGCTCCATGGACCCAAGAGATTTTCATTAGCGGGTGCCTCTGTCTCTGTGCCTAAGCACCGGGGGACAAGAAGGATTGCTTCCACCTCTCGCTGGGGACGGAGAGGCTGCACAGGCACTACCCGTGTCTTCCTCTGGGCCGAGGGCTGGGGCTGTGCCCTGGGATCTGGGCTTTGTCTGTGGGGAGCACTGCAGAGCAGAACCCCTCACGCTTTCCCCAGCGCGCGTGTCCTGAGCTCTCCCGCAGGACACCCCCAGGCTGGAGGTCGGGCTCCAGCCAGCGCAGGGCACAGCCGGAGCCAGCCCGGGGGAGAAACACCCCTGCAGGCTCCTACCGCACAGGACCCCGCTCATCGCCCTCGGGTGGCTTTGTTGCAAAAGGGCAAGGCTCACAACTCGGGGAACTGCGAGTGGTGGGAGCTGAGCAGCGTCACAGAGGTCTGCACGTCCCTCCTCTGGCACGCCGCTGGAACAACTCTCCACACCCCACTGAGGTCAGCCACTTTCACAGGGCCATCCCTGCCTTCTTTGACACGTGCTCTGTGCCCACACGCTCAGGTTTGGCTGCTGACCTGGTGTGCAAGGTTGCTGGCGCGGTTAGTGATGCTGGATGAAGTTACGCGGCACAGAAATTACCTGGCGTGCCAGCTGTTGGCGCTGCCTGCGTTCCGCTGTCCGAGACCGGCAGGGTGGGATGGCTGCCTTCCTGCAGTGCATCCTGCTCAGTTTCTTGGTCAATTCCTTTAGAAAGAAAGCAGGACAGTAGGATTGGATGCGATGTGCTCTCATCGGGAACTGAGCTACTCCAACCCTGAGCCCGCCCAAAGCCTGCTGCTCCCAGCCCCCCACATCCACTGCCACCCCCTCCGTTGCCCAAGGGCACTTGGGCCCTCCCAGGAACTGGAGGGTGCCGACCCTCTCATGCCTCCTCAGGAATCAGCTCCTATGCAAGGCCCTCACACCACGTGCTGCGAGCGTCACCAACCACCACAGCCAGCTATCTGCAGGCTGAAATTAAAGCTCCAGCACAAGCACCTTCAGAATCAGCATCTCCAGCTCGTTTCCAGCACTGCTAGCACAGGCAGCCATCCCTGCTCGGGATGCTCCTCCTGCCTTGCACTGGCTCAGCTGCACAGAGGGCTTTGTACGAACAGAAGCACAGCACTCGCCAGTTGCTGCCGCCTGGGTGCCAGCGTCTGCACAAAGCAGCTCTGACAAGTAATGGTCCTGCTGGGGGAGCAGCTGCCGCTGGGTCTTGGCTGGATGCAGAAGTGGCAGCAGACCATCCCTGGTGCTTGACAGTGTCTGCAAGGCGTTACATGGAACACCGCCACAGCACGGCCCTGAGCAATCCCTTCCTGCTACGGATCCAGGCTACGGCTTGTCCACACATGAACATCAGACCTCAGCTTCCCAGGTTTCACGGTGAACAGACTGAAGTGTACCTACCACGCGGTGCCTTCTCTATTTCCTTCAGCAGTTCCTTTAGGAGACGGGGTAAGCCCTGGGACTTTCTTCCTCTTTCGGGTTCATCCTCTGCTCTTTCCGGACCTGTACAGAACGTATGAAGTCAAATATCAGGTGCATGCAGTTTTGGAGACCAGCGGTGAGTCAGCAGAGTCAGTAAAGACAAACTACTCAGCGCTGGCATTCCAGCTGGGCTGCAGCGCAGGAGGAAACGAA